TATTGTACTAGATATGATTCATTGCGTTTTTATGAATACATATCATTAATAACTGCCTGCTACGTAGGCTATCCCATGGGAAGAAATAGCTGTCATCTTGGGAGTATGTCCCCTCAAAAAGCCCCACAATACACTGCAAAGCTAACGCCACCCAGTTTTTTCCTCAAACTTGAAATGGCTGATATCAACAGCTGCACTGTACTGCAAGATATCATCATGCAGGTTGTAGTGCTTTTGATCATATGACAAAATCACACAATATGCCACTAAAACAACAGTGGGTTTTGAAGGAACTCAATCTTCTTGCTATATTAATGAGATTAATATACACAACTCGGGCTAGTCCATTGCTTGTTTCTACTTTGGCCACATATCACATACCTGACAAGAGACTAACGCACCAATGGACCAACCAATCAGAATGATAGGACGATTAGGAAAATGACTCCTCAGCTGAAAATAATCAGTAAACATAACCACATGTAAATAATTATATATTAGGTATTACTAACACAGAATAGTAGTTGCGACTTTAAGACTTGCTGCATCAATTGTGAGTGTCTATTACTATTCACTTTGGGGTTTCGTGCCTTCAAAGTCTGTCCTATACTGACAGTGTTTTGAATGACATGGCCAATGAACAGAACCCCAAAGAAAATATATTTACCCTTATTGTTGACGTTGCTATGACAGATTTGGAAATCTTAAATTGTTAATACCCATCAGCAATGGTATTACAAACATCAATTAAAGTAAAAAATCTGTCTTGGGCCATGAGGCCCATATGGTCCGTGCTTCACTGGGTTTCTGTAGCATAAAGCGACTAGGAGTATTGCTACTCCCCCTGGATGGATGCTAGTCCATTGCAGGTTACCCCCCAACATGTTAGGTTCCCCTAACAATAATTTGTTGGTACCCATTCATACACCTTGGTGAAATGAGGCAAGGTGAAGGTAAGGCATCTTGCCAAAGGACACAACGCAACTGCCAGGGCCAGGAATCGAACCCATGCCTCTGAGTCTGATGCACTGACCACTTGGCCACCACGTCTTCCACTACAAACATCTAATATTAATATAAACAGTTTTCTTATGAGTAAAGAAGACATACCTCTAGCACTTTAGTTCTCACAGCCCCAATAATATGATCAAGACACTGACTAATAGTCACTCCACTACCACCGTTACTAGTATGCATAGTTACTGGTACCACTTTTCCCAGGACTGATAACTGGTTGTGCCAGAATCTGGTTCTTTTGGAGGACGTTCCTGATCCTGTGTTGGTGGTGGGTCCACTTGGGACAATCAGTAGTAACGGGGAACCTGGAAGCTTGCGCTGTAAAGGTCAATCATCAAAGTAAGTTTGTTTACATTGGCTAAAATGATAGAAATTTAGGCTAAATTAAAGCTTCATTCTCTTTTTTCGAGATATTWAGCGTATATTATTTAGTTATTCTTGCCTTAATTCACCAGCTCATAAACCAAATTTCATTGTGATTTAAGATGTATTGTTGTCATTCGATCCCCCCTCAGCGACCATGATACTTAGCGTTAAAACAATAGTTTGTTTCAATGATGYGACACGTCATTATGAGATAGGGCAATTCTCTGCACACGTTATTGACGTAAGGGGCCATTTAAGTGATACTGGAGAGAGTTTCATTCCAGCACCCGAATTTTTTTTGTACTGTATTTGTTTACATGATACCAGAGCAAAGTTTCTTATCAGTATGAGTCATTCAGGCATACATACATTCTATGCCAAAACAGAGTAAACATAGTACAAAAACTAATTGTTCTGGAATAATAAAACTGCTCTCTGAGAAGACTGGAATGAGTGTACATACATACATGTACATATCAGCCATATATTAAGATGGTAATGTTATGTGATCAGAGCTGACCGCACGCTGGTGACTTATATCATGTAAACACCATAGGAAATTCCTTTTAATAATGGAAGGATCTAATTTGGGTATCACGTGAATGGCATGCAAAGTTGCTAGTTTTCTAGAGTTGTTAAGAATCTTTCCTCGATTACAGAAAACTAATTGATAACAATCATTTATTACAACTATAAAATAAATGATATTCTTCATTCTAATCCACAAATCTATTTGCAAATGGCAGAAATTTGGCCAGCAGAAATATTTATATTTCATTGTATGAAAACATCAGAACGTATGGCAGGGTTATTGAAGATCATGTTCAAAATAAGAATATACTGTTCAGTATGCATTCAAATTAGACACAAACACACATATGAATATACAACAACAATATAACTTTATTGTGCCCAAAGAAAGTAAATTAAGTACCGTTTTATGTTGAGTAACCAAGCCATGCGAAGGATCCCAAGGTCTTTTTAAGAGCAGGCTTAATGCTTCGGCATTTGCTGCAGGTCCTCGTCTCTGGGAGGTGTGGTTGGAAACAATCCTATCTACCAAAGTAGGTGCCTAAGGAAATGGAAAAATCCCAAACAGTCAATAACATACAATAAGGCCTTTAATAGCCTTTGTTATTCAATTTTTGATGATCACACAGGGTTTTCATTAAGATTTGAAATAACAGGAGAATATCAGGAACTGCCGGAGAGTTCTGCCGACCAAGTGAACATTTTATGAATTACTTCGCTATCAATGGTTGTCTAAGCTGGAGAATTTTGATTGGTTACTGGGGCATTGTTTAATCCCCAACTCTTAATAAACAGACTCATTTATTCAGGTTTGGCCTTGTTTTTARGTCAGCTATTTATACCAGCTAAGCAGGGAATACTGCTGGTAAAGCATGAGTGGGCAAAGAGTTTTTGGAGTTTGAAAGAATTGAAGCAAACGTGGCGGTAAAGTGGAATTGTTTTCATCCTTTCTTCCATTTTCTACTTCCTGTAGCTAAGTATGTTATATCTTAGTAAAAAAAACTAAAAAAATACACAAAAGTTGGGTTACAGTAGTCTGGGAATGAGGTTCGGCAGAAAAACGGCTAAACACACTGTGATTGGCTGAAACAAAATGCAACACTCAGCTGTTAAATACACCCACAAAAAAAAAAAAAAAAAGTGGGAATTCAAGACTTTGGCATTTTTCAAGCTTCATGCTCATTGCATTACAGTTCAGGTTTACAATGATTTGTTTTAAAAAAAGGCTAAACTTGAGCATAAGGCAGTGTGAAGTCTGGTAGGGCTTGAACAGAGAAAAGGATTACAAATAAACTGAGCTCAAACACATGCTCTTATTGGTCTCGCATAAGGAGAAATAATTGYACTTTCATATGAAGAATAAAACAGTTTATTCCTTTTTATTTATTGTTGATATTCTTAAAAGAAATATAAAACTGAAAAGAATCATTTTTTCCTATACTTTACTTGTGTTTTCTCACCATCCTGTTATTATTATTAGATGAAAGCATTTTACAGAAATTGTTTTATGTTTGACTAGTTTGAAAATCAACATAATAGCCAGTCAATCTCTGGTCATTATCACCTTCCAATTTAGTTTTAACTTTGTCATACATTGTTTCTGGCTTAACCTTACTGGTCAAAAATGTCTAGCAAGGCAAAGATTTGATCTGACAAGTTCCAATTCTGACCRAACATTGTTCAATGACCAGCTGTCATTTTAAGACCTGAAAATGCATTTATTATGACAAGAGTAAACTAGGCATAAAGTTTGAGAAAGATAMAAATTCTTTTTACCTTAGCTCTAAGTGTTTGTAGCACATCTAGGTAACATGCTAGCAGAGGGATACTTAGGCCATCAACTAGTGTCGTATGTAGCCAGGCAGTCAGTTTGGGATCCCATTCAATTGTAGACAGGATTTGTCTGAATCTTTTGGTTGCCTTGTCTGTGGCTATTCTTCTCTTTACAGGTTCATTGGGAGTCTAAGACACAAAACAATTTGTTTGTATGGGATCAATAGGTGGTTTCAATACTAAGGCATAATCCTCTTGCCAATTCAAGACTTTGGTGCAAGGGGTCTGTGGTCTGATCCCCACAAACAGAGCCTTGTATGAATGTGTTTGTGCTGTTTTCTTTTGCATGCCATAAGAGTTTTTTCACTTTTTCTTTCCCAGTGTTCTTACCAGGAATTTCTTTCAGGGGGTCAAAGGGCCCATCAATCCAAAATTTAGGGGCCATTTAGAAAACTGGATGGGCCATTACCAAAATCTTAAAACAACGAATAATAATGTTTTTAGCCAGTAACTCTGTTGCAAATCTACAACAATGTAAGACAGTTTTATTAGTAATGACAACACAATAAAATTTCGCTGGGCAGTCATACTTGAGCCTTCAATAAACAAGGTCAGTTAACACAGACTAATCCCAGACGTCTTGGTGATGGCGGCTATGTTCGATTCGTGGCGTTTCATGTGGACTTTCACCTTGTTTATTGACAATATAATACGGCTTTTATTATTTCAAAAGTACTCCTCTAAATCTTTTAAAACTATCAGGAAGTATTCTTTGGATAATTCATGCGCCCTTGGGGGCGCATAGAGTTGACATTTGTGCGCCATTCCTGATTTTTATGCGCGAATCCCGCAATGGCGAGGCCTGGTAAGAACACTGCTTTCCCTCCGCAAAAATAATCAACAATTCTAAATTCTAATTCGATTTCAGAATCAGATGGCTGTATTTCAGACAGCTCATTGTGGATAACACATCTTTACCCTCTTAAAAAAAATTGGCTATTAATTTATTTAATTTATCAAAAGTTTGGATTTTTACAAGATTCCTTGTTAGCAATTCCAGGGACTTTACTGTGATTTTCGATATTCTGTGATCTTGGTAGTCACAAGCTGCAAGCTGAAACTTGGTTTTTCGCTGCTTTCAATCAAAAATAATCAGTTGGTACCTTTTTATTTTTATGTTCTTAACCGGTGGAAGCAARAAAACCAATTTCACAATGAGCTGTTGGAATGTCTGAGTTTGCAGAATATTGAAAACCACAGTAAAGTATCAACCCTGTCAAGAATTATTATTTTTACGATGAACTGTTAAAATATTGACAATTAAGAAAGAATCAACTCCCAAGAGTGGCATCAAATGGTCTGACATGTGCACAAAAAGCAACAGAACCCAAATTTTCAAACCCAATTAGTGCTAATCCTGGGTGAACTCTTAATAAGACCTATAGAGTTAATCCTGGATTACCGCTAACCCAGCTTTGAACAACAGAGCTAAAAAGGTTCATCACACATTACCTGTTCAAATGCCAGCCTTGCAAGACGTAAAGTTGAAAGCACCTTGATAACTTTATCAAATAGAGAATTCTGCTTGGGTCCCCATCCAGTGCTATGTATGCAAGAATAAACATACATCATTAAGATACCTCATTTTTTTCTTAACGTTACTGGTCAAAATGACCAACAAGGCAAATATTTGACTGGACTACTTCCAGATCAAATGAATATGATTGAATATGATTGAAGATTCACTTAGAGCAAACTATTCAAATTGTTTTGCGATTTTGTTTTCCCTTTAAGTTTATTTTCATTGTGCATGTCGTGTTATTATGCATTGATATGTAATTAGTTTTTTCCTTCTCTACTTTAARAACATTGTAAATTAAATCTGTGTAACCTTATATAATAAATAAGAATGGCCTTTACTTTCTTTTTGAAATCTCTTTTCGTTGCTGACATATTCAATATAGCAAACCACGAAATTGAATATCTAATAATTTATGGGTGGGATGGGTGGCGTAGTGGTTTACCGCTCGCCTTTCACCACTGTGGTGCGGGTTTGAGCCCCGACTCAGACTGGATCATATGTGAGTAAGGTTTGTCTGATGCRTTGTTCTCTCCCTTGCCACTAGGGTTTTCTCCGGAATCTCCAGTTTCCTCCATCCTTAAAAAGCAACATGTGAGTTGAGTGTTGTATGTTGTAAATATAGAATGTGTAGTGGTAGTGCGTGTGGAGGTAACATCACGGAAAAGCCCCGCATGGGGAGTGGAGGTTGTAAAATATACAAGTTTTATTTTTTTAATATGATGTCAACCCAGGATCCTTGTAAAAAGTCAATCATCAAATAGAAAATATCTCTGTGAAAATTAGCTCAAAATGACTGAAACTTTTGCAGTCATAGTGTACTATAACCAACATGAAAAAGTAAAGGTAATGAATATATAGAAAACGTGTCTGCGTGCCGTGTGCAGTCATAWGAAAGCACATGGGGGTTGGCAGAACACAAAAGAAGTGTTAGGAGAAGGGTGACTCGCAGCRGAGTGCTTTTCAACACTTCCCAAGTGTTCTGCCAATCCCAAARTGCTCATAACTCAACACAGCACAGCACAGCAAGCAAGTTTTTTAATTTCTTTTATAAAATAAGAATAACAAAARCCGTTCTTTTAAATAGGAATACGCAACTGAAAAAGCGAGCGTGTGCTGTGTGCTTTCATAAAGCACATGCTTACAACCAATCAGAATGCGAGATTAATAACAGTTATTTTTTAATTTTATTTTTTTWATAAGTGCTTTGAAATCTGAAAGAGATCCTGTAGACATGATAGGCACTTTAATTTCCAGTCAGTACCTGGACAATTAATTCAATTATGAGCCAATCAAATATATAATTTTTTTCTAATGATAATAAAGTTTTTTGCAATAAGCGATACATCGCAGTTAATGTTAATCATTTCATCATGACATAAAGATTTTTTTTTTGACTTTAACTTCAACATTGACAGCTTCAACATGAACCAAGTAGCTTGAACGTGCAAAGGTTCACCTTGAATTTCCGTTCAAAATACTCACCGACAAATGAGTTCTTCCCAAGTATCTGGAGTTCTTTTACTGGTGACAGTCGTTACATGCTTTTCGCATTCACACATGACAGTTTTAGCTTTAGTAGTGTCGTAAATTATCGTTGAATTGTTCGAAGGTTCGACTTCACAAACGTCGATCTCTTCATCTTCAACCTTCTTGCAAAGCGCTTTTTCATCATCTTTTGGCAGGAAAAGCGTCTTCATAGGCTTGGCCTTGCTTGCTTCTGGGTGTGCTGACCATGGTTTTGTGTAAGCGTGATCTGTGAGGATTATTTCGACTAAAGATTGAATATTGCGGACGAAAACTGCTCGACTTGGGTTAGCGAACGCCGCCATATTCGCCATGCTGTCGATCTCCGCATGGTGTGGGGCCTTGATCAAGTGACGCATGGGTAAACCCGAACTCTCATCGACAAACCATAAACAATCGATATCATCTTCGTATAAACCTCGGAAAGAAATCGTAAACTTTGTCTGCCTGAAAAGATTTGTGGGAAGACTCGAACTATTATTGACAGAAAAATAATCAGTCGATAATGTTATCGTAAGAGCTTCGGTAGTTTTTGTTATAAACACGTTTCACGTTGTTTCTCAATCGTAAAATAAATTCAAGAACTTGCAATGATGTGGCAAAAGTGTAAATAAGACGCGATTTATAACTCGTGTGGAATGCTATGGTTTATATTTTGTTGATTTTTACGAGAAAATCTAGGATCGCATCGAAAATATATTATTGTGTATTAGGATCTGTCAAGTTTGTGCTAGCTCCACGTCGAACGTTCACACTTCACGAATCTTGTTCTAATTCAAATCACTATGCATTTCGTCTCAACAATTTTCAAAGTTTAATATGAATTCTTCAAATCAATCTACCAGAATTTCTTCATCAGAGAATAGCGATGACAATATTTTTGGTCCAAGAAATGATGGCAGGGTTTGCAATGGGACTTTGAAAAAAGGTAAGACTTGACTCTTATCTATGAATACTATTAAATTAAGCCTAAAGACTAAAAAGCTTATTATGAAATTTTAGAGCTTGGTTTGCGTTAACAGTTTATTGACTATTTTATAAATTTCAATTTTGACTCTACTGCCTCGACGTCTCGCTTTAGAAAAAAGGACTTTGTATATATGTAACATTATTTTTTATTATGGAGTGAATGTAACTGCGCGGGCTGTTGGACTCGCTATGGGTGGCGGGTGCTGTTCAGATGAGGTGAATGCCTATTGACACGGTGTTCACCGCATTTGTCTGTGTTTTCTGCCCCTGGCGGGTCTAATAGCTTGCGCAGTTTGTGTATGTGAATGTGTGTGAGAATTATATATAAGATATTTAAAGTTATCTAAGTTAATTAGCTATATTTTTACAGATTCATACTTATATTATATTTTATTTATTTAATTTATTTTATGCACGACCCCACAAGCTTTTAGCTTTAAATTTTATCGTGTTTAAATAAAGGTATTCTATTCTATTCTATTCTAACAGTTTATGTTACCAGTAGAGTAAAATAAGCACATTTGTTTAAAAACAGTATATGACGTTTAATATTAATGTGCATTATATGTTAGCTCAATTATGAATAATTAAGATTAAAATAAAAACATAAGTTTATGTGTATAGCTTTTACACAACAGGTATAAACATGGAACGCAGAACATGCAGCAGTCCAAATTTCCTTTAGAAAGAATTCTAGAAGCAATATAAATAAATTAGGTTATAAACTTGTTGTAAATTTATAAGATTACCTTGTTGCAAAAAGTTTTACAAAGTTTGTACTGAAAAAGAAAATTAATTCGGGATGGTATTTTTTGTGGAGACTTGCAGCTTGAATTTGAAAGTTTTCCAGGATTCTAACTGTAGGTATATACATATGCTATACTTATTACAACTATATGGAAGCATATTTATATATTTAAGAGAAGTAATGTTATTCTGTGCTAATTTTTCTTGGAAACATTCTTAATTATTTTGTGTGTGTCAAAAGGTTGAACCTGTCTGATCTGTTTATGTAATTTGGGTGGGGTTTAGATAACAAATAATTGTGGTATAGCTCAATTTTATTTATGTTTGTGAGAATATACTGCATTACTGTATATGAAATATATATTTGTACTGTGTGGTTGTAATGTGTATATCAAATTGAGCTGATCCTTGCAGTGTATATGAAGCAACTTATGCAGCTGCAAATTGAAAGACTCAGGAAAAATTCTGTGTCTTGAACAGGATTTGAACCCATGTATGTTTTGCACTATTTTTTGTTGATTATATATATATACAAAGATTCCATGCACTTCTCAGTTGTTGATGATTCGTATTAATATTAACAGCAAGGCTACCATGTTTTGGTTTGGATATTGGAGGAAGTTTGGTCAAACTGGTATACTTTGAACCTCTTGAATCAACCATCAAATCATCACGTCAAGAGCAAGCAGGACTTGAAGCACTAAGAGAGTTCATCATATCAAATGTCGAATACGGTGAAGAAGGCATAAGAGATGACAAACTAGAAATGAATGAATTGGTCATTGGAGGAAGGCAAGGGAACCTACATTTCATACGTTTCCCGACATGCCATATAGCATCTTTTCTTGACATTGCAGCAAGGTTAAATGCATCAGTTTTGGATAGAAAAGTTTGTGCTACTGGAGGGGGAGCTTTTAAATTTGAAAAGGATTTTAGAGAGGTAAGCTTTGTAAACCAGCTTGAGATGTACAGTGTAAGAGTGAATAAATACAGTCAACTCTCTCCTTGTGGACACCGCAATATGACAGATACCTTATTTTTGTGGACAGAAGTAAAACACCAGCGAAAAATACTAGTAAAGTCTTAACTCTGTTTAAAGGGAGGATTATAATCCAATGCTTCTATGGAAACTAAGACGCCACATAAAGAATGCCATTAATATTAAATACATTAGAAAAACCCTTATATATGATGATGTGAAATTACAAATATAAGGTTTGAATAACAGTTAAACTTATTAAGGTTAAAATCACACACATCTACATGACCATTGCATCTATTCAATGACAGCCATCCATCCATCCATCCATCCATCCATTCATTTTGTTTTTTTTCCCAATCTATTAAATAAATCCATTTAATTTTTTTGCTTTCCCAATAGGTTTTAGGAGTTCAATTAGTGAAATATGATGAACTAGACTGTTTAATTCATGGAATCCACTACATCAATAGTAATTTTATGCATGAATGTTATTATTGGAGCAACCCTCAATGTATAGCCGGAGCACAGCAAGTTTCTTATGACTTTGAAACGGATCCATACCCATATTTAGTGGTCAATATTGGCTCAGGAGTCAGTATACTTGCAGTTGAATCTGCAGAAAAATATGACAGGATCAGTGGAACAAGGTATACCTGTAATAATATATTAGTACAAAAATAAATGCAATTACATGTAAATTTAATCCTGTAGCCATAACAGTGGGGACACTTGAACCATGAGCACTAGTGAACCATGTAATATGCAAATCAATTGGAATAAGATGTATCTGAACTCAATGCTTCATGTATAGGGTTTAAAAAGGTAGAAAGTCCAGGAAATAATAATCTGGAGAAACCTTGAGGTGTTCATGGTTCAAGTATACTCACTGTAATTTACTCACACATACTTTACCATATTATAGAGCAGTTTTTGTATGACTGTGAAAAGCTCAGTGCCGTAAGCGTGACATGCTGTGACCGTGATGCTAATTTCTAGAATTTTAATTGGCTGATTTTTTTCACGCGCAATATGATTGGTCTTGCATTGCCTTGACCTTGGAGTGACCGTGTCCGAGCTGAGTTTATACTGTGTTCCAGGTATTTGATTGGATGGAGAGTAAAATTAATTCTCGTGCAATGTGATTGGTCTGGCATATCCCTTGCTGTGTCACGACCGTGTTTGTGCCGTAAACTTTCCACGGTCATACGAAAACTGCCCACCACACCATACCACACCACACCGCACCACAGCACTCCACTCCACTCCACACCACTCAACTCAACATCTATCTACACTACTTACATGTACCTACAAACTATATTAATTGATAAGTAATTAGTATGGCATACTGCTGTGGTGTGGTATATGGGGTGGTTTCGTATCCCAGTCATGTGAACTGATCATGAGTTGGTTGGTTCTCTTTCTGACTCCAAGGGGTTTTTCCAGCCCTCCAGTTTTTCCTCCCTACTCTTAAATCAACCCTAACTAATTCAAACTGGTTAAAGCTGTGCTCCGGTGTCATACATGGACTGTAATAGCAGCTGCCAGAGGCACCTTCATATGCTTTCAGTTCAACCCTGCTGAGCTGGGCCACTGCTGTACTTTGCAGTGGTGAATAATGATAACAATATTGTGTTGTGGTACTGTATTGTATTTAAGGTAACTGTGTGATCATCATGCACACTAAAGAATACTTTTTTCTTTCATTGCAGTCTTGGTGGAGGAACATTTCTGGGTCTGTGTAGTTTATTAACAGGTTGTAGTACATTTGAAGAAGCCATTGAATTAGCTGCAAAAGGTGATGGAAACAAAGTTGATAAATTAGTTAAAGATATCTATGGAGGAGATTACGGCAAGTTCAATCTCCCAGGAGACACTGTGGCAAGTAGGTAAGTTATTGTTAAATATTTTGTACCCTAATTGTTTGATGGTGCCAAAATGAAACTTGGCGGAGGGAAAGGAGGGGAGGCCTACCTATGTAGGACACCATAACTACTTTATTTTATACCAATATGATAAGTACGAAATAATAGGCTCAGTAATTAGCTATATGGTGTGGTTCAAAGGCTACATACACTATCAAAACCCGGACATTCTCAATTAGGATATTTTATAATTTTCTTTACCAAAGGCCTTTAGTTGGAAAATTTCTAATTTGACGATTTACCACTCCATGGTTTGGAAAGCCTAACACTGGTTTTAGGTTTAGGTCAGGTTTTGCAAATTTTTTCATGATAACCTTTTTTTTAGTTTTGGGAAGATGTGCTATGCTGACAAGAGAGAGCAGGCCAAGCCTGAAGATATCGCTAGAGCAACTCTCGTTACAATAACAAACAATATTGGTTCAATTGCACGTATGTGTGCAGTGAATGCTGTAAGTGTTGTACATGTACATATCAGGGCACGAAATTAACTTTTAAACCCACTAGCAAAACCTTGCTAGTAAGTTTTGTTCTCGATAGCAAACATTTCAAAGCCACTAGTGATCAGACACAGTGAATAACAGATGTTACTTGGTGCAGGTTCTAAACTTTTCAGTCCTTCAATTTCTGGACTTTGGTCATACTTGCAAAACTTGGCTCGTTAAATGTTTTGTCACTCACTATAAAATACAAAATTAAGCCCTGCATTTTGTGCCCTGCATATGCTATTGTTATGATACAGGGTCTGGAAGGGGTATTTGCAGGAGATGGGAAGTGAATAAAATATAGCAGGATGGGATTGGGGTAACTATGAAAGAATTTTACATGATTCAGGATATGGCATCGGCAATGAATCGGGAATTGCCGAATTTAATGGGGATGTGGGATTTTGTTTTCTGATTTTTGGGAAAAACATGAAAACATTTTTAATAAATTAAATAAAAATTCTTTTGCCTTTAAATAATGTTGAATTTGATTTTGGGAAAAAAATAGCACATGATTTGCAATTCGGACCCCATCTTCCAGACCCTGATGATATTGACTGCTAGTGGAGTTGTGAAATCTTGATCTAATGTCTTCACATTCTGGTCTCTTGACTCACAGACTTTTTCCTTCAGAAAATCGAAAGAGTTGTGTTTGTTGGTAACTTTCTACGTAAGAATGAAATATCCATGAAACTGCTGGCATCTGCTATGGACTACTGGTCTCAGAACACCATGAAGGCATTATTCCTGAGGCACGAGGTAAAAATGCAAAGAATATTTATTTTGCTATTAGCCATTCCAATTGATTAAAAGATTGGGTTGAGTTTGATTTGCATTGCATTTTGGAACTGTTTTAGGGGACAAAATAGCTGGGGGGGGGAGGGTTCTCCGCCAGAATTTGGGTAGGGGTGTTCCGATGGGATTCTGAAAGGGGTACCCTGTTTATGACAAAAAAACCTCAAATTTGTAGACCCTGTTTATGACAAAAGATATAATTTATTGCACTGAGTTCCTGTTACAATATCATTATCATGTCATCTCGCGTATCGTTTTCTTTACAACCATAATAACCAGTTTCGGTCAAAAAAATATGTCCCCTATTACATTTCTGCAATGCATTGCAATGCCAACTTGTTCCAGTTTCTTACTCAATGTTGGAATGGCTAATAGAAGGTTAACGTAGAATAATGCTTGCACAGGACTGTCCAAGAGGTGAGGGGACTCCAATTGGAAAAAAAATGGGGATGCCAGTTAAAGTTTTTAGGGTTGCAGATCTGTGATTTGGAAGAGAAACATGCTGCAGGAATAAATTCAGATTTGTGTAACAGTACTTCTCAAATTTTAATGTCCTATCTTTTGTCACTCACTCAGCTTGTTTTAGTTGTAGAAGTCATTATAAAAATATAATATATAAAAAGGTCACAGAAAATTTATTTTTCTTCTTAGGGCTATTTTGGAGCAGTGGGAGCACTATTGGAACTCATGACAAGTGCAAAAACATTCCAGAAGTAATCTTGGTTTTATATCATCCGTAAAAGGTTTCTTACCTGGATATACAACATGTGAATCAAAATAATGATGAATTTTAATACAGTAATCTCTGTGTAACCAATCAGAATGCATGCAATATTTATGACACTTATTTTATAATGATTGGGTCATATCCCTAGAAAAAGACAACAGGGGCTGAAACTTAACTAGCAGCAGAATTGGAGTCAGAATCAGAATCAGGATCAAAGTTGGAAGCAGTTTGTGCAAAGAAATTGTGAGTGAAATCCGCTTGTCACATGTGTAAGCACAGGGCAATTGAGAAGAAATTTTTTGATTCTATTTTCTGATTCTATTTCATTTCTTATATTTAGAATTACACTCTATCTTTCAAAATGGAGATTAAAGTGCTACTCTGATGAAAATCACTCAAACTTGGATTCAGCTGAAACTTCCTAAGAATAATCTTTAAAGGTCCAATAATCACTGTATAAAGTGTTTTCTCGATATTCAGGACGAAAGTATGATATTTTTACGATTATATTTTGGAGTTTGTGACGTCATACATCGAACATCACTCCACACATTTCTTTGTATATAAATCCTTAATTTATTTTATTCCTATGAAGCCCAAAGGGTGGCTAATGTGATAATTTCACATTACTTGTGACTATAATTTATATTTTGGGGTGTTTGGGTACTTCTTTCTCCCTTTACTACTGATATTTTGATCATAAACTACAAAGAAATGTATGGAGCAATGTTCGATGTTGAGTGTATGACGTCACAGACTCCAAAAAATAATCGTAACTATTATCGTACTTTTGTCCTGAATATCGAGAAAACGCTTCATACAGTGATTATTGGACCTTTAAAGAGTATTCTTAGGAAGTTTCAGCTGAATCCAAGTTTGAGCGACTTTCGTCAGAGTAGCACTTTAACATTTTTTTAGTATACAAGGTCAATTATGGCAACAACGCACAATTGATTTGTACGAATTGATTTAATTTACTTTCCAGTTAAAACTCAGGATGGACCCTCAGGATTAATGCGATTTTTAGAAGGTTGGGTGATTGTTACAGGGTGGGAAAATTTTGAAAGAATGGCATCTCAAATTGAGAGTCACTAAACCTGAGAAATAGATATAAGAGTGACAACAATATAACTGTGAAACTTTAGTAATGCTAAATAGCACAATTTCATGCAAATTCTATTGTTTTCTATTGTTTAATTAGCACTATTTTTAAATATTTAGTAATTAGTATTTCGCGGTTTAATTGTTTGCACTCTTACTAGTTTATATATATTGGTAGGCCCTAATTCCATTGTTTTCTTTTTTGTCTGACTATTGCCTCTAATTGTGTTTTCCAGATAATATCCATAGCCCCACCATGGAGGGAATTAGGTAAAAGGACCACCCTACCCCAAAAACAATTTTCTTTCATACAAACTCTGTAATTTTGTACTTTCTGTGAACCCCCCTCCCCTCCAGAATTTCCGATTTCCTTCTTTGTTGGGATATTGATATTTTCTGGAACTTGTTAATAGTGTAACAAAAATTGAGGTGTTTTTATTGCTTTGAAAGATTAAAGATGTGATTTATATTTTATCAAATGAAGCAAATTGACATTTTTTTGCAAGAAAAATTTGCTAGATTATGAAAAACTGATTAACATATTTTAAAATAATAATCTACAGGGCAACTTGGGCACTATTCAGGTTTCAAATGAAAAAATGTCTTCTTCCCTTTACTATTATGACTTAATTTGTTTATTAGCAATACTTTAAAGAATAGCATTAATTTGGCAGAGGGTAGTACTATGCAGGGCAAGTGCTGATCCAGATATTACAATATTTTCAGGTTTTTAAAAGGGGTAACACATTTTAATATACATTTTTTAAAGAATATTAATAGAGGTTTTGAGTCCATACATTGTCATATTCTGTACTTGTAAGCCCTTAGGGTTTATTTAATATGTAAGATTACATTTATTGCACTGTACTTAATTTACAATAATTATTTAAGATTGTATAGTTAACTGAAATTTATAACCATACCCCTTCCACCCTCAAAATAGATTCAGCTTAGATGACCCTGAAATAAGGTAAAAAACGTTTTGACCTTTGTCAAGATGTTGGGGAATAGCTTTTATTAATTTTACAATATACATTCATATGAATTTTACAAATGAAATGTTATGTAGTGAATAAGGTCATGGAAATGAACAATAAATGTTTTTCAATTGGTATTATTAATTAAGAGGTTTTTTAATACTCCAATTGTTGACTTTGTTTATAGATTATTGATATTATGTGACAGCAATGTTGGGAATTATGCTAACTTGCAATGCAAAGGACTCTAAGCTTTAGCTGTTGCATCAATCATGGTGGGACAGTCACAACAGAGCTCTAAGCTCCATCTTGTTGTTCACACAGCTGCTTGTGTTAAGGGAGGGCAGGGTCATGTGACCTGTTGGTGCCAGACTATATTATAGACTTCTGCATTAGCTTCCAGCTGAGCAGTGCGCAAAGCATGATTGGACAAAATGACCAACCCTAAGCTTAAAAGAGCAAGCAAACATGGCAAAAAAGTGAAATATTTTTTATTCTTCCTTTTCATATTTCTGCTTTCTGTCAAAAGAAAACAGAAAAACATGCAACAGTTTTACAGTAGCCTGGGAATATGGGTCAGCAGAAAAACAGCTAAATGTGCTGTGATTGGCTAAAACAAAATTCACCACTCAGCTAGTTCTGAGTAGTAAAGTTTTGCCATTTCAAACCATGTGTCATTTTCTTTGAGAATAAGATTCTTTTAGTTGTATCCATATTCAAGTGTCTCATCATGCACAACTGTTAAACATAGAAATGATAATATAGGGAATGACATGGTCTGAAATGGGAAATATCATGCCAAAGCTAAAGAGGTCTGTGTTGTACGAGAACTTGAATGTGTGCTTTGTATAATTCAGTTACTTCTTTTTGTACATTATTGCTTTTCTCTTAGCAATTTCGTCATCCCAATCTGGCCATGCTTGCTCCTTAATCCTTTGGCAATAACCTTCAATATTTTGAAAATCCTTTCTTATCATTGCACTGAGTGGAGATTCTGTGTCGTGCCATACAATGTTAGCTAACAAACCAAAGGCAGCTGTATCAACAAGCGTTGGTTTATCACCTAGAAGGAATGGGGCGTTGTCTAACATTGCTGATATACTTGCAAGATCACGGCATGCAATGGAATATATCTCGTCTTTGGTGTGTCTGCCAATTCCATGGCCATGCAGATAACTCTTTACTCTACGCTGACCTCCAAAGGCTATAAGTTTTTTCATCCATGGAGAAGCAGTTGGAAAAAGAAAGTTGGTAGTTTTGTGGGGAATCTCAATCCAACGATAATAGACTATAGTCCTGGAAAATATTTTAGAATTACTGAAAGTAAGTAAGAGATCTTTAAATAGTAAAGGGAGCCTTGTTATATAGTTTTGGCAGCTTCTGCATAAATAAGTGAGCAAGCAAAGTACTACTTGTGCTGTCTGTTTATTTAGGAGTGGGCAGAGGAAATTGAGGGTTTGAGAATGGGTAAAAAAAAAACAACAAAAACTGGCTAACAAATTTCAAGTCCAATAGACCTATCCCGAATTCGCTTGACTGACCATGAAACAATGGTTTGAAGTCGAGATTGAACTTGATTCTTTTATTCATCAAGTTCAACCTCAACTTGAAACCATTGTTTCGTGACCAGTCAAGCGAATTCGAGATAGGTCTATAGGTGTTTAGAGTTGGCTCAACTTAAAGTGATACTTTTTAACAGTGCAGACAGAGTAATTGGTATCACTTTTACAAATCACCAACCACAATATAGAATGAAAACTGAAGCCAATTACAATTTAATTTCTGCAGGTATTCATAGCACCTTTGTCAGAAATATAGTCAGATCTAGGCTTTATTACTTACTCCTGGTTGGGTTAAGTTTGGCTAGCCTTGGTTGTTCTGTTTTTATTCTACATTATTAATAACTGGTTGATTTTTTAAGCCATCCCAATAGCAGTTATTATGGATGCATGCAAATGAGATGCAAATGAGACAACAAGCACTGTATCATCCCAACAGCCTCACTCATATGATTCTTGAAACTAAAGAATATCTAATCGCAGGCTCAACTTTAATAACAGTTTTAGTGCTTGAATAATAAATAAATAATAGCCAGTAAATAAATATATAAATTTTATACTAGGATTAATGCATGTCCCTTTTATGTTAAAGCAATGAACCCTGTTTATTACCTAACCATGCGAATAAAAACCTTGTTTAAACCTGTATAACCTCATCCTGAAGCGCTTGAATGCGAGGCTACGCGGAAAAAATTCTTTGTTTCAGTCAACTTGGCTGCGACGTGAGATAATGATTAAAAAAACCTGTATTTTAAATTGGGATTCCTCTGGTTTTCTTACCAGTAAGTGTTTTCTTCCAACATCGTGAGTACAGCATGACCAACACCTTTCCCTTTTGCACTTAATCCTGCATCTAAATCCACAGAGAACTTCTCATTCAGGTACCTTATGCAGAAATTCGAATCAGCCACCTTATCGTCTTTGTACTCCATCCATGGTATTTTGCCTTTGGAAGAAAACGCTCTCCCAAAACGATTCTTATAAGGAATATTGGCCAGTCTTAAATATGTTTCTAACTTCAAAGGAAATGGCGAAACAGAAGGTACTGTAGTTGCAACAGCAGGTTGCCGAACTATTACGCTCTCTTGTGGATTAAATAGTTTGCTAGAAGTGTTTTTCGCTCGAGTAAAAGTACGCACAACTTTTGACCAACTTCGAGCCGCCATCTTGGATTGTCTCGTCTGCGCGTTACACAGGGACCCCAAATTAGAAGTTCCTGAATCCAAGTATGAAAATATGGCTGTTCAAGGAGTCCCCAATATTCATGACGCTACATTATTTACAGCCAATACTTTCGGAATGAAACTGTTCTAGGTAAGTAGGCGAAACTCAAGCAAATCAGCATATCTATTTCATATTTTGAAAATAATTTCAGTTTTTAAGAACTGAGATTCTTCGTTTCTGATTTGTGTCTCGCCGTCGGGACTCTGGCACTCATTGGCAAAAACTTCTCATGAAAAAATTTCCAAGGGCATGAAACATGGTTGGAAATGAGAAAAAAACTTGGCAATCTAAGTACTGATGGGTCTTTCAATATTCAATTACCTAATTAACCGATCTAAGCCGCCTAATTATTTCATAATCTCGAAAAATCATCGTTTAGTCCGATTCAATAAAAGGTCACGTGATCTTTTCCCGCCATTTTGTCTTACAAATACCAGTTCACCAAAAAAGAGTGCACTTTCTTCAGCAAAAACTAAAAAAACTAAGTTAGTAGGCCTTATAGGGCATTCTACATAGCAAAACAAGCCTACGTGTACATATATCTACAAAAACTGATAGTGGCTCAATATTTGAAGTCATGACTCGTGTATGTAAAAACCGTTAAACTTTTCTTACGAATTCTTTGCCAGACGACTATAGAATATATTTTAAACAGTTAAGAGCCCATTTGGTATCTCTTTGTAGTGCATTTTCTTAGGAACACAAACAAACAAACAAACAAACAAACAAACAAACAAACAAACAAAAACAACTACAAAAACACCTGTTTTAATAAAGTTAGTCACCAAAAACCTAGAAAGCTGAGATCACTGAGAATTATGGGAGATATTTCATATCCAACAACAAGTAAAACTTTTGACACAAACACACACACATATATGTATATATTTAATTTTTAAGTGGTATTTATACAAGTACTTTTTACAAGTAATTATCACCGTTAAAATTAAAAAAAGAAAGAAAAAATGACGACGTTTATGTAATTCATAAGCGGCATTCTTATATTTTTTCTGCGATTTTAAGTTGATCTTCTACGTATCTGGACTAGTTTTTCACTCAGTTTGTCATGAATTTTTGAATCATAAATTTTAAACTGGAATTGCAAGACATCAAATTTTCTCGTCACGTAACAATAGCGCAGCGCAACTGTGACGTCATGAAAACGAAGACAAAGGCGAAATTCGGACAAACAAACTTACAAGTTTACTTTCAGCAGATAATTTTCACAGCCGATCGCAGTTGATCTTAGTTTACATGGGTTATTATTGTAACTTCAAGTAAATATAATAAAATCGGTTCGTATAATCGTCGTAGCTGTTAAACAGAATGCAACTCTGTTTGTCCGAATCTTTAAGCTATTTTTAGAATCAGTGCGCTGCGCTCTTGAAAGTTAATTATCTAAAATATTTTCATTAAGTTAATTTTTTTTATTGAAAGAAAATAAACTGAAAAATATAAATTACTATGGGCTGATGGCATAAAAGTCAGTGATTTCAAGCAGCTATGTCAAAGGTTATCCTTTGGAAACCTGTGCTAAATACAAGTGGCAACATGAATAAATAATGATTCACCAGTTAATTTCATGTTTAGACTACTTAAGATTTCCCTGTTAAACAGCAAAAAAAGATATATAAACAAGCTTATGAAAAAACAGGCAAAACAAATGTATTGCTTGTCAATCAAACACTACAAACAATTTTCATTAAGAACTGTCTTAATTCTCGGATTTATTTTTTTGGTGTTTTTGTGGAAATCACTCGATATCTCAATTGAATTTGGAAAGCCTTTGATCAAAGGAGATTTGTATACTTCTGTAGTTCAAAAGAAGAGTTTACGATCGAACAATGAACGAACCGTGAAGTTAATTCTACTTTATACCAAGTTTTTTGGAGACTTCTGGAATGATCATCCATCTTTAGGCCCTCTTCGACCACCCATCCTTCCTGGAAGAGAAGCCTTTGATGACTGCGATTACAAATGTGAAATTACATACGAGCATGATCTATTACCATTGGCCGATGCAGTTGGATTTCATGGCCCTGATATTCATCTGTTATCGTCGAATTCATTGCCAAATCGAACCCGACCTGATCAAATTTGGTTTTACTACATCCTCGAGAATCCGACAAACTGTAATATTTCTTCTTCTCTTAATAGGATTTTTAACTGGACGATGTCTTATCGACAGAATTCAGAAATTTATATTCCATATGGGAAATATTCCTCTTTAGAACCTGGTGACATAGTGAAGGAGGTTGACTTGACGTACAAAGACTTGTTCGTTGCTTGGATGGCTAGTAATTGTAGAGAAACAGAGCGGAATACTTATGTCGGAGAGCTACAAAAATTTATACCAGTTGATGTATATGGACACTGCGGTAGATTTACCTGCCCTCTACCGAGACGCTCGTCTTCTTGTAGGCTACTTTTAAAGCGCTATAAATTTTATCTCGCATTTGAAAATGGTAATTGTCATGATTATATCACGGAGAAATATTGGGATAACGCTTTGGAAAATGATATTGTTCCTGTCGTTATGGGTGGAGCAGATTACTCGAGTCCCGCGCTGGCGATCCCGAACTCGTACATGGACGTGCGGGACTTTGATTCGCCTAAAGACCTCGCAGAATACCTCATTTATCTTAGTCAAAACGATTCGGCTTACATGGAATATTTCCAATGGAAAAAGAAGTATAAACTAGTCGCTCCAATGAGAGCGTGTCCAATGTGTACGGCGTTGTATAACCAAGAACTTTACGATCCTCCAAGAACTATAGTGGATTTGGGAAAAGCCTGGTCTAAGTCAGACTGTTGGTCGCTAAATCTTTTGAATAAATCAGAAACACAGACTAAAGGTATCAGTAGAACTAGTGAAAGCCCTATTTTTATAGAACCTTTGGATCCGACTGACACTGCGAATCGACGATGAGGTCACGTGGTCGATAATTCCAACCACTTTCTAACACAGGGATCCCAAGATTGCGAGAAACTTGACTCTAGCAAATAACTGGATACAAAAGAAAGCTAGCTTGCGTGCCGCAACCAAACGTTACTCTGTATTAATCAATGCTAGTAAAAATACACAGGTGATTATTGAAAATCTCGCGCGCTGATTGGTCGAGAAACTCACACTATCACAAGACAATCACCTCCAGCGATAATCCAAAATGGCGGCCATCCGCATCGTTGCTGTTACTGGAAAAAAAATGTCTTTTATCTTCTTTTTTTTTCTTCTTTTTTTGAAAGAATCACCTGTGTATTAATACTAAAACAATTATTTGCCTCAACCTCAGGGAATATCGGGGACTCGCGTCTCGGTAAATAATCCCCGATATTAATTCACTTCGCCTTCGGCGAATAATTGTTAATTATAACACTGCTAGTTGTGTATTACAGCCGGAACAGTGAACTGGCGGCAATTTTTTTCCGAGCCCCGCAGCGACGAGAGAAAATACAACTTCAGGAGTAAAATTATCCCACCGGTAATGCCTAATTATAGCAGTGCAATAAATTGTTTAATGTACGACAAGCAAAGCTGAGAAAGAGTACATTAAAAACAACCATTTTTATTGTAATGAAGAAAACTTGCAAGTCACTAGCCGATCAATAGTCCCCTTCACAGTTCCCTGCGACATCTTGAAAGGTAGCCGTACCTTTGCATCGAAGCGAGACGAAAGGTGAGCTTACAATGATTAATTGTCCAAGGTGTTAAAAAGGGTCCCTATCATTGTAAGCTCACCGTTCGTCTCGCCTCGATGCAAAGACACGGCTACCTTTCAAGATGTCGCCGGGAACTGTGAAGGGGACTATTCAATGTAAACGTAACATGTCAAATCGGACATAATACCGAGACATGATTGGCTAAGAAAGAGAGTCAACAATTTCTATTGGCCAACGCATCGCGCTGACGTCAGTAAAAAACGTTTTGTTCTCGACCACTCAGTCGGTCAGTCGCTCGGTTTGTCGGTTAATGAAATTTGACGTCATTTTGTAGGGAATAGGCCTTGCGACCAGTAGATCGATAAAAGAAAAAGAAAAACAAAGGAAGAAAGAAAGACAAAACAAAACAATTTAAACGAATCGAAATAAGAAGAGAAAGAAGAGAAAAGAAAACAATACATAAAGAGCGCAAAGGATTTTCGCTTAGTCAGATGTAATGCACATGAAGGAAATAAAGATCTGCGGGTAGTTTCAATGCTATTTTCGAAAATAGTTCACCAAAGGGGATTTATTGGTGAAATAAAAAGAAATTCGATTTTTCGCGACTGTCCGGCGATTCTTGGCATTTACAGACAACGGCTCTTAATGAACGAAACAAGTTTCTAATCTACCGGATGATGTTGTCAAGATGACAACGAAACGTCGTCTGGTTTCATTAGTTTTCACATTAAACATGAATAATAATAATATTATAAGTGTGTTATATCAAATAAGATAAAAGAAAGAAAGAAAA